CGAGAAGTTCACTGTGTCATATTATACATCGAATGAGTTTTCAGTTCGTATAAGTTATATTAGGTTTCATTGAAAACTGATAAAGACCATATGAGATCCTTTTAGTGAAACAACAAATACATGCAAGTAAAGATTATTGATTAATTATATATAGCAGCCGATCTCATAACCTATCACGTCACTTCGTGACTGAGTGACATGATGCCTTTTTACTTCAACGCGCTCTGATACCTTAATTTGCCACCCAATAAAATTATACTTCGCTTTATCTGACGTTCTACATAAACGGTTTGACATCACTCTTCCTACCTTGTAACTAATATGTTATCATCATTACCACCTTAGTTATTAGCGTGTAAGTTTAGCAGAAATCTTATCCGATCTGAGTAGTTTGTTTCAGCCCTTTGTTATATAGTTTTCGCTCTCCGCTTCCGTCCGACATCTAGCAGATACTCATTACGCCCTTATTATTATTGCTAGCGTGTAGGAAAACCCCGAAACACGTTAACATTTTTATGTTAAGCCTCTTAAAAACTAAATTACTAATGCTAAATAAAATAAAATGCTAAATCAACGGTAATGTACACACTATCGCTTCAGAAGAACGCTACCTCCGTTTTGGCCTTTATGTTTGACACCATAAATATCGTGCTATATGTACTTTATAATAATTTGATGAAACTCGTCGGATCACTTGCATCCAATATGAACATGCGAAATATTCGGACTTAACTAAATCCATGCCTAGTATCGGAGCGGCTAATACCCTTAAACTCAGAATGATTTCTCGATCCCAATCGATTTGCTTTTGTAGCTGTCGTTTTTATATATCGTCGTCCGGTACTAATGATACTTGCGAGATGCATTTTCGTCTCACCTTGCAAGAATCGCATAGAATTCAGCTAAGCGAGGCATCATAAAACGATGGCTCTTTTCTTTCATTCGTTGTCCCTTGTTTATTTATGGCAATTATCAACTGCGAACTAAAGCATGAGAACGCTTCTGCTGTTAAAGGATGGCATTACTCATAGCTATCTAACAATACGTACAATTCAATCATTCGTTACCTTTCCCTAACTCGTTGTGTTGCGGTCCTATTTACTATACTAATGCAACTTGGTAAACTAAATAATACTTAAATCAGTGTTTTTACAAAAAATACTTTTACGTCAGAAACAGCCTAGATTTGTGATCCTTCAACGAGTCGATAAACTTAGTTTTTAGTACCCATGCATTATACGGAATCAGGGTCGTAAACCGAAGATACCCCGTAACTTACGTTTTACGTATCTAAAATATTCAATCCAATGCAAATGCCAGTAGTATTCGTTGCACGGGAATCACCTCAAATGGAATGTTGAAATCTAACGAGATTTGTATTATTTTAAAAATGCTGTTTATATAAGCTTTATTTGGTAAAAATAATCCTTCTAAAACCTATGTTTGTTTAAATACCGGTTAAATCATCCAAGTATTTGATTCAGTGCTTTAGATTGGCGTACCTGCCTTGAACATGGTACTCTTTTCGAGATCTTTTCTAGATAATTTTTTCTAGATCGTGGAAAAGTCTTAATACAAAACCTAAATATTTTTTTTGAATATGTATTCATATTACAAAGTCCATATTAGTCAGAAAAATTATTGAGTAAAGATCGAAGTACATAGCTACCTAGAAAAAACCTTCTTGAATTATCCTATACTCAGACTACCTGAAAGACTGCGCTTTTGAATGGTGCTTCTCCAAAAACCCTTTATTTTTGTCTATTCAAAAGATAATGCATTCGATCTTAATAATTTAGGAATAAGTAACGCGGTGAAATGAATACATAATCGAATGGAATGTCGCAAATGGTAAGTGTTCCCAGCGTTGTAGCAGCTATATTGCTCCTAGTATATCCAAAATGTGTTTTTCAAAGGAATCACATTTTGTTCGAGCTACTTTGTTTCATATTTTTCATTTTTAAATTTTTCATATTTGTTTGTGTCGTTCCACAATATTTGCAAGGTTAACGGAACGTCCAATTTTAAATCTTGTTGGTCCTTTCAATGCAAATCCAGAATGCAAACGAAACGTTACTTTTAACTTATTGCCTGTAACTACTTTTCATGATCATTATTATTGTTGTAATTATAATTTAAGAAAAACGTACTGTCTAAGTTCTTTTGCTCCTTCATGGTATTTCCTTGACAAAACAAGCTAATGGCCAAATGTTGCACATTTACTCAGGAAGTATTTTCTACTGCAGATCTGCAGTGATTGTTTTCAAGCGTCAAAGACGTTTCAGGTGCTACATGTCTGACATCGCTTGATTCATCTCTTCTCGAAGTCGAAAAACCCTTAAAGCAGTCGAGAACATCTGTGCCGTGTACAAAGAAGACAATGACTAAAGAGACTATTCTAAAGAACTTCCCTTCAGGTAATGTCTACCATTCGTAAAATTCGTTTTCCAGGTCGAAGATGCCATTATTTAATGGAACAAACCACTTTTGAACCTATTTTCAGCTGTAGAATCCTCGTCATACACGTTACATATAGCTCGAGCGTATATTAGCAGCTCTTTAACTTCAAAAGTGTCAACTATTTATTTCCAAATGAATAAAAATGTATTTTTTAAAATCTAAAACACACGCAAACCGCAGCCGAAATTGTCAGAAAAATTCCATCTGACAAAGCATAATCACAAAAGATTATAACAATGAAAGCCCAAAGTAGCTTTTGCTCAGCCGTCAGATGGACCCAGCAAAAGTGAATCACCGAATCACAGGAGTGGTAAAAGAAAAAAACGGGTTTGCATTTAGGCAAACATAGGCTTACGCTTAATGCAAATGTGTTTCAACTATGCTGTTTTATTTCCTGCTAGTTTTTCAATATGGGGCCGCCCAGTATCAAACGTAAATATTTTCGGAGTTTTTTTTACGGGCTTAGATCTTTCATTATTCCACCACTGTTATTTATTACTTTCCATCATCCAGATAACAATTCATTTGTTCAACTACTATAGAGGTCTCGAGTATCACAGTGTCTTACTTTTAAAAAAAGCAACTTCGACATCACAGTCAAATAATCTTTTCTATTAAAAACGACATGTTAACAAGAGTAATATAAAATTTCGAGGTAACAAGCAGTTAGTAAAAGCAGTATTTAGTGAATGCTTTATGTAATAGAAAATGTCCAACTTCCAACTTCTCCATTGTTACCACCATCATTTTTACGGTGTAAGCGCTGCCGTGCAATATGAAAAGTTCACTTATGTTCAATAATATTAGCACTTTATGCGGAGTTTTTTTTATCATCTCCTCTAATTGTTGGCAGTACACTTTAGCCGCCATCAACAAACCAGTACTCATTAAAGCTGCAGTGGCTAATACTGGTATTAGATTATCAAACAGGCACCTAGGCTTTCGCAGCTATGCGTTTACTTTATGGTGATATTCAGCGTATCCACTCATCGACTATAGAGTCTATCATTATTTTAGAGAATCAATTTTCCATCAAATGTCACAGTTTGGTGTAAGAATGGATCACTGCTTAAATGTAAATGAACAAAAAAAGTTTGTTTTCGATCGGCATCAATTTGTCCAACTTTTTGGCTTAACACTTCGACCGAGGTGGACAAGCAGTATTTTCGCCAAGCATTTCAAATTTACCAAGTACCAGGACCCGCGCACATTATTTCAATGGTGTTGTGCTTTTAATGGAGCATAAATACTAAAGCTCCCAACTCCCCGTTATTTACCTTAGCAGGGGGTCCTTCACGACCGAGTTCTAAATTTCCTTCCTGGAATTTTTTGAACTACCGACTTCTTTGAACTATCGAGTGTTTCTGGGAGCAGGACCTTTACCGAACACAAAAATCATACGGCGAGCTATCTCCCAGATAAGTGATGGGTTGTGTTTGTTTTGAACATATTTTTGTCAAATTTATTTTATCGGTTACTTAGATCAAAGTATTTACAACCTTTCTTTGTGCATAAGTACACGTCACGATAAAGAAAACACGGACATATTCTACTTTGATGCGCAACTATTTTAGCGAATTTCTAGAAGATGAATTCAAATATTATTAGCGTCGAAAGCTGAAGAAGAAATTGTCAAATGCGATGGATGGTGCCTGACCACTTGTATTAAAATCTTCAACAAGAATGGCCATGAATAGTTAAAAAAAAATAGGTAATTTTTACTTAGTTTTCACGTCACAAACAAACGTGACAATTGTATTTTATTATAATTATTACAATTAGTTATATTATATATTATTATTATAAATATATATTTAACTGATCTATGGTAGAAATGTCTCTGTACTCTCCGGATCCCATTCTGACAACCAACAAATTTTCTGGTACATTCTACATAACGAAAAAGGGTAGTTATTAAGTAGATTAGTAATGAAACATTCGTTTATAAAGTTGTACATGAAACCCAACAGAAAGAAGAACTTTCCACTAGACGTTACGTACCCAAAGATTACAAGAACGCAGCGTATGTGCCTCCTTGAGGCACAATAAAAATCATGAATTTGAATTTGACAGATATGAATAACAACGTTTTGGCATTACACACTCAATTGTGCTTGTAATGTCCTTGTTAACTGATACTCGGAAAATAACGTGATAACATTTTTCCGCAGTCACAGATGAATTGTATAGCCGACAGAACAGCAGGAAACTATCTTCCAAAGTATTTCTAGACACAGGCGTAGATCCAACTTAATAGTTTCAAGGCCTATTGAAAACAGAATACCAGCGATTCAATCAGCTGATGGTAGGTTCGTTTTCGCGTGTAAACTCAACGTAAATAAAAAAAAAATTCATTTTCCACAATAATCAAACTTTAAATCAATATGCCGAACAAAACCTTTGATCGTAATATTGCTCTTACACAGCACCATTGAACTGCGTAGCATAAATAGTTCGGAACGACAAAATTGAATACTCAAGTTCCAAGAAACGGAGATTACGAAAATAAAAAATTTTTAAAGAGACGATGGAGCACAAACCTTTTTATTTCGCCACCATCTCATGTTACTCCTGTACTGAGCAAGCTCCACTCCACGAATCATTCTTGGTGTTTTTATCGGCTTCACAGTTCTGTCCGATGAAATTTTGGCGCAGGAATTTCAATCTATCAAACAGATGGATATAGATCTGACTGCATGGATAAAAAAGGGTATGGGAGTAGGTACAAAAGTAATTAACCGCACACACTCTAGAAATAATCCAGTAACCGCTACCAAACGGTAATCACGTATCAAGCAAGTTCACGACCAATTTCGAGAGACACTAGACGCTTGACTCATCTGTAAGAGTTTGTAGAGCAACACTGATGCTACACAACAATTAGAAGAACGCTAACGGAGTATTCAAGTGGTTCCAACTTCAGTCTTACTGATACATTACAATGGCATCTAAGTTCATTGATACATATACCAGCTCCTGCTCTATTCGCATTATACAATCCAGTTATATTCATATATATACATGCTATATATAAAGAAGGGATACTCTTCGGTTGAGGGAGTCACATGTTAAGACTGCGTGTGAGGCTATCTTTTGCATCCTGAGCAACACCGACATCAGTGCTACTGACGGTCAAAACCTATGATATAATGGATAATTACAGACTCGGATATCAGAAGTAATATTACAAAAATACCGAAAATATCCATGTCAGAAAAGTGAATACCGCTCGCAAATAATGCTAATGCTGGTGATGATTGGGTTAAAGCTTCGCCATCCTTCAAGAATTGCTTTGTCCATTCCTATTTAGCACTAATTTCAAGGGCTATCGCAACAAGTGTTCTAAGCGCTGCATTAAGATTGCCGGAAGACCAGAGCCATTTTCACCAGTTATAACAGGGTTTTGTGGCAGTACCCGCGATAGCAATGTCGATAACAACGAATAGACTACTGATATCTTCTTTCATTGTTTAACGGTAAACGGGTTATATTTTCCTCTAAATCGTTTCCCGTTGCCTCTTGAATGATTTAAGATTTGTTGCCAAAGCTTGTTTCATGAGGTAAGGGCCGCCATGTAATGGTCGGTATATTTCTGTTGTTGTTTTGGCTTGGTTTTGCTTCACTTTTTGCCCTCACGTAGCAACGGAACGACGAAGACCTTAACGTGGTATCTGTTCTGCTAATGTCGTCGTGAATATCACGGTCATTCATTTACAGAGGAAAAAAAAGCTTCTTGGTACACACGGTCTGTAGAGTACAACAGCAGAAAAAAATCGGGCCCACACTTGATGAAACCAGTGCTACTTGGCAATTACAATGACAACCATCACTGCTACAAGAACCAAAACTATTACATGCATAATATATGCCATACAAATAATCGACTCTAAGAAATAAAATGTTGCTGCTACCACTTCGATTCTAGGTATCCTGTTAGCGTCGTTGTCACAGCTCAACAGAGACAAGTTCTCGAAGTTATGCTTCTGCCTGTTTGTTTAAAGTCCGGTGTGATGCTGCTGTATGAAATTCGCCTCATAGATGTCGTCTGCAACAACCGAACTAACAAGAACCACAGCACACAATCACTGCGCACTTTGCCATAGATTTGGTCCCTCGCCCTAGACGTCTTTCCCACACACTTGCAGCCGCCTTGCCGCGTTTACATATAATCGTGTGAGAGCAATAGACGGAACATGGAGAGGCGAAAGTAATTTATGTCACTAAACGAACGATTTAATTCGTTGTCGTGTAAATCGCCAATCCATATCAGATAGATGTCTGTGACTGCAATAGGTATAACCGTTGCTGCTTATTTATTGTAATCATTCATGTGGGCTGTGGCTATAAGACATAAACAATCATGCAAACTTGCGTAGAACGTCCGGAACACGACTCTCTGCCAACAAGGGCTGCTAATTTTACAGTAGGTAGTCATATCTACTACAAATATGTTTTAGAACGTATTGAAATGTGAGGAAATTATTTGTAGCGCACCTTTGGACACCCATATCCGTGGGTATATAGTTTATACTTATTATCTTTAATTATTTAATGTGTCTTTCTGTCACCTCATTTAAATGCGAGCTTTATCGAGGTTACCTACGCCAAAGCGTTTATTTTTTCAAAATTCATATGTTCACTGTAGATGACAGACAGCTAATCCTATTTACCCTGCAATCTAAGTTCAGAATTTGGAAATTCTGAAGTTGACTATACTATATATGAGTTATCAAAAGATTCAGGTCTTGATCAAAAATTGAAATGAGGTCAGGTGGATATCGGAAGTGAACCTTCTTTAGGGTAACTAAAAAGAGCCACTTCTAAAGGGAGAACTGAAGATTATTCTAATCTTCAGTTCTCCCTTTAGAATAAAATCCTGGAATAAAATCTAAAACCAAATTTAAAAAATTACGGTTGAGTATATTGCCCTAGTTACTCCATTTTGAAAAATTGACAAAAATCATATGTAGCACCTCTGTTTTCAATTTCATCATTAGGTTTTTTAGCGATGCCGCTGAGATTATATCTTAATAATTCATTTTTGGCCTCGAGGCGCGACTTTTGCTCGCGTAACGGAAACATACGAAAAAACCCGTGTTCACTTTCTGAGGCTAAGTGACGTACACTGTATACAAAAATTTACTTTTTTCGTTCATAAAACTCATTAAACACCTTTATACGACATGTTATTCGTTGTGCTAATTGTCGATAATTTCATATTAGTACTTTATTCACGTTTATTGCTCAAATCGAAAACCTACGCCAGATTTGAAAATCTGGAATCAACTTACGTCTTTGACATATCAAATCAAAATTCTCTGTAACGAATGGTATAAGGTCTGCAAAGCTCAAAATTTTTTTGGGATTCAGTATACCTATTGTTTTTAAATTACGATACATTTTGATTCGATAGTAGCGCGTATCGCATCCAGATTGTGCATCCCATTGAGTTCTGAGGGATCTGAAACCTGAGAGATGTTGGAGGGTAAAAGCAACCAATCAGCGATTAATTTATATATATGTATATAATTAAATAAAAACAAGGATTAGTTCCATGGCGAACCGTACTACGCTAGCGCAAAGGACAGAAGAAATTAGCGCAGGTGGGCTCTGTAAGAAAGTGAAGAGCGATGGACAGGAGAATTGCTTTCGCATTTTATCTCCATGCGTAAAACTGGAGTTCAATTCAAAACAGTTTGATCCCTTTTAATGTGACGAGATAGGCAATGATGGGAGTAAATTAATAACCAAACTTGTTTATTTCGTATTTGTTTATTTAATGGCTCTTTTAGGCTTGTAAATATTGATTAGCTCCAATATGTGACTCCCGTGGCAGCGGCTGTGTAAAGCATACGACTCCCCTTAAAGCATAAGTTTTGAGTTACAGTTTTCTCAGTTTGATTTTCTCACTCTTCCTAACGTTTCTCGCGTTTCTTAACGTCAAAATTCACCTTCCATTGCTATTAGATTCGTTTAGACCATGCCACTTTCAACAATGGTTACTGCAGGTGCTTTTCCAAGCTTTCTAAGACAACTTTACAGAAGACTCTGAAACTATGTAATGGTGTGATTGTAAAAAGTTGTTAATTGATCTTTCGATCGAAACATGATCATAAACGGCAACTTTTTAATTGGTTTCTTAACATAATGCACCATGTATATTTTTAGTGGCTAATTAATTAAGTTAAAACGTCTCAAAAAAAAACTCCTTTTACAGAGTTCCAGAGGTTAAACCCAGAAAATCTGAATACTGCGAGCATAAAGAAAAAACGGAAAACAAGCATAAGGTAAATTGGAGCAAGTTGATTTACAGTTACTTGCATGCAAAAATTAATATTTAAAGTTCCCCGGCCAGACAGACTACTCACCGACTGTACTGCAATGCATGACGCCGTGTGACATATTTGACCACATCTTGCACAGACGCACGAAGCTTATGCCAATGAAAATAAGTATGCGCCGGTTAATTCTGTTCGTGCCGGTTTCATTGCTCATCGCCGCTGTGTTATAAAAGTCGGAATCGATCTCCGTCATTTTCCTCTCCCAAATTCTGATTGATTCCGAATAAGAGGAAATAGTAGAAAGTTTGAACTGCGCATTGGATCCTCTGCAAATAGAGATGTGTCCCTTAGAAGGCAGACGTGTCTGGGCAACAATGAACTATGCAGTCCCACGGCGCATTTTAGGAACGCGGGTTTAGTTCTGTCTAATTTTCCAAGTTGCATCGACGAAAAATGTTCACACACTGCCTGGATTTCCTAGCAGCCTACTAAGGCCATCTTAATCGCAGATGGGGGCAGTGCCGTTTGTAAAGAATGTCTGAAAGATACCCACACCCGTCAATATCGCTCATCGTACTCTCCGTAATGTGCTTTGTAAAGGCTCGGGCGTTCGTAGGTAAAATCAAATCCAGTTACTTCAAGCTGGTCACTATTTCCAGGCCTTTCTGTCCATATGGAACGTGTCGGTAATGGCAAGGCAACCGCCTCAGTGGATTCAGGTCTCTGTCTTATACACTTTGATTACTAGTGCCTCATTTTCGTATCACGAGAGCTTGCTGGATATAAAAGCGACTTTTCGTTAAAGCGATAAGATAACCAACAAAAGCAATGTTTTTACCTGTCCCCGATGGCCCTTTAAGATGAAGGGGCAAATCATACAGCAGTAACAAAAATAGAAGCTTAAGTACCAGCTATTATGTATGTCTAAACAGGTATCCAAAGTTGTCACGATACATAAAAACAGGCTTGTTTTGAGTTCATCGATACATCTAAATCCGGACTTTTTCTTACGAGGTGTTTGTTTCTAAGACCAGATATAGTAATGAAATTCTTTGCATGTGCTAGATGTATCGTTCCTAATTGTCGTGTTTGTTTATGATATAACCATAATTCGCCGCGATTATATTCTATTCAGGATTACAGTACTCGCAAAATAATTTTTCTTTAATCCACAAATAACTTTTTAATAGCAACCGTGCTTCAAACTATATTGGTCGGTAGAATGGTCAAAGTATTGCTCAAACACCCTATATACAGAAAATTCCAGTGGAATTATATTTTAGGCGTTGGGAGTTGATATTTTGTGGAGAAGATTAATTACTCGAGCTTATCTCAACGGCCCAGTTGGTGGTTGATGTCCTGCTCCTCAAAATGACTGTTAATTCTTAATAGAGATCAAAAATGCATTTTTGAGTCACGATATTAATTTTCGAACCTGTAAATCTAAACCCTATCATTTGGTTTGCCTCCTGAAACTCTACCTCGGGATGTGTAAAAGCCACCCGAGAATTAGTAATAGATATAGTCTCGGTTTTGGGCAAAAAAGAAGGTTATTGTTTCGGTTTGCCTTGCGTAAACACATTGAACAATAGTTGATCTTGGCTCAAGTTTCAAGAACGACGCACGATTTTTCGTCATCATGAGTCTGGTATTTTTTTCTAGAAAAAAACTGACTTTGTTCTGCGACAAGACTCCCGCTAAAGTTGGTCCGAATTTGAATATTATGCTCTGTATAAAAATGTAGACCTCTTCACTGACAAAAAGGCAGAAAGTATGGTGTTGTATGTAAACTCGCCGCTTCGACAGAGATCATCTTAAATATGCGTTGGGAGCCTCAAATGGGTAGATCGTATGCGCCGAAATTTGCGGGTACTTTACTGAAACAACATTTTACCGTTGACTGGAAAAAATGATTAGCTCTGCGCAGGTTTGCACAGCTCACTTGTGCAGGCGATCAGTTCGATTTTTACAATATGCTAAATTCTAAGCTTGTAGTGCGACTAGTTTCGTCGAATTATGAATCCGACGTATAAGCGATGCATGCTAATTGTTGAAGAGCTTTGCCGCGCAGCTTGGACACACTGTTTGTTTGTTATCGAACATTTGATGAAACATTTATATGAGCGATAGCACCACAGCCGTAAACGCAGGGTCCAAGAACACCTACACCAAATATATTACAAACCACACAACACTGAAATTTGTATGTCAGCCAAGGTTGGAGAAAGTACAGAACGCGTCTCCTCTGATAGCATTCAGAAAAAAAATGGCGGCAAAATTACATAGGTAAAGAAAAGTTTACCAGTCAAAACGCAGAAGTATGCAATATAGATTTGCGACGGAATATCGCATTATGATCTGTGGCTAATACCAGCCCAATGAGTGGGTGTGAGCATCAAGTCGTATACAACACTCCAGAACAAAGTAGATCAGAAATTACATAATAGTAAAAAAACTCGATGAGCAGTTCATTTTCCAGTCTGATTCAAATCTGGAAAGTCGCAAAACGCCGACAAACTTTTGCTTCAAAATATGCTTAGCCAACCCTGCACTAATTTGCTTGCCTACGCGAGTACCCAATTTTGCTGAAAGGCATATGCACTACAATTAAACACAGTAGACATTTACGCCTGTATCTCATTGGAAGTTATTTGATAGTAGATGCGCCTTTATAACAGATGTGTACCAAAAAGTCTTTTTCACTGGACACGAGACTCAAAGCGAAAACATGGCAGGCAGTTTGTTTTCACTTACAAGGGGGCATATAAATCCTGAACAAATCATCAGATATTTTTGAGACTGATTTCTTTTTACAGTGAATCTTTTCCCATCACTGAAGAACCGAAAATGGCCTGATGCTCCTTCGCGGAGGGTATTCAATATTCAAAAGCAAATATCCCGACAAGTACTGGAGGACTTTTGTCTTGAGAGAAGTTTTGCCTGTGTTTTATGGCATGAGACTCGTATT